GGGGGGGGGTTATGTAGAAAAAATACAGTCTTCTGTTATCTATGAAATTAGAAAAATGATCGTCGTTTTGTGCAGGGGTGGCGTAAGATTATTGCAAAATTTCATGTTTTCCGTCCCATTTTTGCTCATTTCTCGGAGGCAAAATGAGCAAGAACGCTCATACATCATTCTAGACAGAAATAAATGGCCTTTTTGGAAAGTGAACCATGGATGGGGAAATGTTGGCAGTTTTCTCAAAAAAGGCTTGAATTCAAGAAGTTTCAGATTTGCGTGTTTTTTTTTTGAGTTGCAAAATCCACTTGACATGACATGACGCTGCTTTTTCCGAAGTTTCTCAAGAACCATTCGAGCCTCAGAATTCGTTTCGGTATCGTTGGATAGAGAATTGAATGGGGGAGTCATGATAATAACAATTTGTATTTGTCATTTTTCTATTCTACTGAATCTTAATTTTTACTTGATCCTTAAGACAATTGATGGCTTTTAGCAAAAGTATCTACTTTGCATTATTTCAGCATAATTTTGCATATTCGTTGCGGCTTTCTTCAAAATTTTCCTTTGTTGACTTTTAGCCGTGGATTTTTTCCTTACTTGCTCTATAATTCATTTGATTTCTCTACGTTTCTTGCGACCTAATTTTTAATCAGTTGGTAAAAACGCCAATTAGTGCTTATCCAGTGGTGTATGCATTAGCGCTTTAGCTCAATTTACTCTTGAAAAATGGGCAAAAACGGCCACTACCGTAAAACATAAAAGCTGGGTCTAATCGTGTTCTTGCACTTCTTTTCGTTCTTGTGTGATATTCAAATTTTATATATAAAAAAAAATAGCTTTAATGGATCTTAAAATTCATTGAAAATTTGACACCACGTTTGGGTCGATTTTGCAATATCAAAAACCGCGAAAAACTATAACTTTCCTAAAATGTAGAGCTTTTTGTAAAAACTCCCAATACTTCTCAAGCGGTGCCTTACTTCTTAAAGCGCGATTTACGACTCTATCCAGTGGGGCAGAAATGAGTCAAAGGTGGAGTAAAACATGAAATTTTGATCTAAAATTACACCTAAATGTGGTAATCAAATTTCGCTTTAGATGCAAAAACTGCAACCATTTCCCCACTTACTGTGTTCTAATTCTCTATTTCCGTCTATTTGCACTTCGACGCATGTTGATTTATACATGATTCTCATCGACTTTCTCTTTGGTCGAGTTTTCAGCATTTTCTGTTTGTATTGCTATCAATGTCAGTACTTTTTACATATTGACCGAAAGCAGTCTCAAAAGCATCACACTTTTCTTATAAAGAGTGATTTGAAAAAACGCTGGATGCTTCTCAAGGGTTTAAATTCTAGTCTTGGGATGCCTATTTCCGTCATTCCCAATCAGGAGAAACTGGATATATGAGACCGCCAAGTTTCGCGCTTCCAAGCACTTTGGGCTATCTCAGCTCCTCTAAAGCTGCCGCTGGAGCTCCTGCTTCAGCTCCTACTGCAGCTGCTGCTACTGCAGCTACGCCCCAGACCATTCAAGAGCACCTGACCGTCCAGGCCATAATCCGCAACTACCAGGTAAAAAATTTAATGATTTCCTCCCACCTTACATGCAAAACATGTTCTTCAGATGCGCGGTCATCTGGCTGCCCGATTAAACCCTCTGGAACCTATGTTTGAGATTGAGGACAAAACCTCAACAATATCTGAGCAACTAGGGAAACCTCCTCCGGAAGTAATTAACCAGCACAAACTCGGTGAGGAAAATCGCTCATTGACATAGTCTTCTTCACTTTGCACTTTGTTAACTGAACAACTTGTAGAACCCTCCATGTGGGAAACCTCATTCAAGCTTCCCTCTTCCACAATGATCGGAGGGAGCGACGGCCAGACACTGTCTTTGAAGGAAATCATTAAAAGACTAGAACTGACCTACTGTCGTCACGTTGGGCTGGAATACATGCACATCAATGATCCAGAACAGTGCAGTTGGATTCGGGAACGATTCGAGGTTCCAGGCGTTACCGAGCTGAAGAAACCCGAAAAACGCTTGTTACTAACTCGGCTGGCCAAAGCAGTTTTGTGAGTAACCGTGGCTCGAACAAGCAGCCGAAAATCGGAGACCTTTTGTAGGTTTGAGGCATTTTTACAAAAGAAATGGTCGTCGGAGAAACGATTCGGCCTGGAGGGCTGCGAAGTGCTGATTCCATGCATCAAGACCATCATTGATGAATGCGCCAAGAGGGATGCGGAAATGGCTATAATTGGTACTGTATAGCATTGAGAGCGTGAAAAAAACGTTGTTTTCCCTTCAAATCTTAAGAGCTGAAGAGTTGAATACCGGAAAAAATAGCCTGCACTTTCACACGATATTCACACTGTTTTTCTTAGGAATGGCTCATCGGGGGCGCTTGAATGTTATAGCTAATGTATGCCAAAAGCCCCTGAATATAATTTTCTCCCAATTTCGCGGTTTGCAAGCTGAGGATGAGGGAGCTGGAGATGTAAAGTATCACTTGGGAGTCTACAACAACAGGTGAGGCAGTACGTATACAGGGTGATTAAAATATTGCGCCCGCCCTTTTAAGGAGGGAGCATTTGATAACATTCACTAATGAGTGTATCTCCGCTTCAAGAGAGAATTCTTTTTTTGCGCTCCTTTGGGTTAGGTTACTCTTGATAATACGCAGTTTCAATACGAAAATATCCTGGACGGTATTTAAATTTCCTTTAAAATCACTTACACGCTTTTGAAATTCGCTATTCCCAATCCAAGGATTTATGCACGAAAGCGAGATTTTGCGGTGCTATTTGCTGCAAAATAATCTTTAAGTACCAACAATTTAAAACTCGACACCCTAATTTTGGTTTAGTATCTAAATCTGATGCAGTTCCCTTTTTGTTACATTTTGTGTTTTTGTTCAAAGTTCTTATAGAGTTAAGGGCTCAACACTTTTTAGGGAGCTACCAGCATCCAAAAAACCTTTCACAACCGTCCTAGTAGCCAACCCTTCACACTTGGAGATGGTCAACCCTGTTTGCGCCGGAAGGGCGCGAGCTGAGCAGTTTTACCGCAACGACCCCGAAGGAAAGAAGGTTAAAAATCGAACTATTTAAACCCAAAATCCAACTAGATCCCCCGAAACTCTTCAGGTGATTACCATTGTGATGCATGGCGATGCGGCGATTTGCGGAGAAGGAATCGTATATGAAACCATCAACTTTGCCAATCTGTCCGACTACCACAACGGCGGAACCATTCACTTTGTGGTCAACAATCAAGTGGGTTTTACTACCGATCCCGAGTTTTCGCGATCGTCTTTGTATTCCACTGGTAAATTGCTCGAAAGTGTAAACCGCTGGGGTTAATAAGATGCGCTTTTGGTTAGAGGTGGGAAAAGTGGTAGGCGCTCCAATTTTCCACGTAAATGCCGACGATCCGGAAAGCGCAGCCTACGTGGCCAAAGTGGCAGCCGAGTTCCGATCAAAATTCCACAAAGATGTGGTTATTGATCTGATCGGGTACAGGAGGCATGGCCACAATGAAGCCGATGAGCCGATGTTCACTCAGCCGTTCATGTACCAAAAGATCAAGAAAATGCCCAATATTTTCGAAAAATACTCAGCAGCAGCCATCAAACAAGGCAACTCAAAAGCTCTGACCAAAAAAATACCCACATGACCTCTTCCATCCCATAGGCGTGGTATCCGAAGCGGAAGTGAAGGAATTCAAGGACCAAACGGACAAAATCCTGGAGGAGGAGTTTGGGAAAGCCGCAAAACTCACCTCAATGCGTTTCGCCGACTGGATCGACTGTCCTTGGCCAGGGTTTTTCAAAAAACAAACTCCACTCAAATGCATGCCTACCGGGGTTAGTCTGGAAGCTTTGGACCACATTGCCAACAAATTCGCCCATCTTCCGTCTGAGGACTTTGAATTACATAAAGGTGACTTGCTCAATATACGAAAAATGCGGTCTAATAGAAAAATGTTGAAGCCCTAATGAGAGTCATGCACATGAGGCAAGAAATGGTGAAAAACCACACAGCAGACTGGGCAATTGGGGAAGCATTGGCAATCGGCAGCCTGTTACAAGAAGGCACTCACGTGCGACTGTCTGGACAAGATGTGCAAAGGGGCACCTTCTCCCATCGCCATCACACGGTCCATCACCAAAGCAAGGCCAACACCAAATACACGTACTCATCCCCTAAATCACCAAAACTGGTAAAAACCCCGCGATTTCCAGATACTTAAAGGACCTTCATCCGAACCAAGCCCCGTATAGTATATGCAATAGCCCGATATCGGAATATGGAATATTGGGATTTGAGCATGGATACTCCATGGCCAATCCAGGCAGCTTGGTGATATGGGAGGCGCAATTTGGGGACTTTGCCAACAACGCGCAACCGATTTTCGACTGCATGGTCGCCAGTGGACAATGGAAGTGGGTGCGGCAGTGTGGATTGGTCGTTTTACTTCCTCATGGATTGGAAGGTATTCATTTCCCACCCATTTCGGTTCGATTGCTACTAATGGGGTTGTTCAGGTCAGGGGCCGGAGCATTCCAGCACCAGAGTTGAGCGGTTTTTGCAGCTGAGTTCGGACGATCCCGATTTTCTGCCTCCAGACGACCCAGACTACGTGGTGAGGCAGCTCAGGGACATCAACTGGATTATCGCCAATTGCACCACTCCAGCTAACTTGTTCCATGTGCTTAGGAGGCAGATAAAGTTACCATTCAGGTGGCAAAGAGAAAGTGAGCCAGCTTAGGCTTAAAAGGGGTCGATTTTCAGGAAACCGCTACTCATCTGCACCCCAAAGAGCTTGCTGAGACATCCAGAAGCCAGGAGCAAATTTGATGAGATGATCGACGGTAAAACGTCCAAATCAAGGAGGTATGGGGACTGCAACTTTTTTTTGTGCTTTGGTTTTAGGCACGGAATTTAAAAGGATTATCCCTGCTACGGGTCCAGCAAGCGAAAATGCGGACAATGTGAAAAAGCTGGTGTTTTGCAGCGGGAAAGTCTACTATGACTTCATGAAGGAAGCCAAAGAGAAAAAAATCGAGGACAAAATTGCTATAGCGCGAGTCGAGCAGGTTTAATCTCGTATATTATCCCAAGTTCTTGTAAAGTTTTTCGCGTTTTGCCTAATTCCAGATTTGCCCGTTCCCTTACGACCTGGTACAACAAGAAGCGAAAAAATACCACAAGGCCCAAATCGCCTGGGGCCAGGAGGAGCATAAAAACTCCGGCTGTTGGACCTACGTAAACCCCCGATTTGAAACTGCCCTGAAAGGCGAACGAGATATCCTGTAAGTTCATGATTTCAACCCCGGGATTTTGCAACAAAGGAATGTTTACAGGTACATTGGAAGAGCGCCATCGGCCAGTACAGCATCGGGCAATAAAATTCAGTACCAAAAAGAGTATGAGAGTTTATTGGAAGAACTGGTGAAAAACTGCCAATAGCTTCGCTGGTGTGACGTGATATTTAAACAAAAACCGAGTAAATGTAACAAAATAAAATCATATGTAAAATAAAAAACGTGTAGCAAAAAGTGCTAGAGTATTTTCAACTTTGAACTTACTTTTGTCTAAATCCGCAGTCTTATCACATTAGTTAATCAGATCGTAGAAAACTACCGATATACCAAGTCCCAAGTATTCAACTCCAAACCAACGCACAGTTTCATTTGCACGGTGGCGTCGACTTTAGCTTTGTCCACGCCAAGACACGTTCCAGCCCCCAAGTTATAGATCGGGGAATTGTTCTAGAATCATCCAAATTTACGAAAATTAAAAAAAAAACGCATCAATTAAATTACCCCTCCTTTGTGCTTCCACTCTTGATCAGCGCCCAATTCATGGCACTTGTAGAGAATTGGATGGGGCTTGGAAGCCTGCAAGCACAAAAGCTGAGCTAAAACCAGCTCGTTCTTATCCGTCTGGTACCACAACTGCTTTTTGTTCCTGGCACAAGGCCGTAAGACTAGAACGCTGCCTTTCGTCTTGATGTCTTTGGGCGTTTGAATGCATAGAGAGGTGTTAGAGAGCCTGGAAAAACTCATAAACTCAATTCAATGACGCTGCTGTGTTGGCTAGAAGTACTTGATTTGGAATTCCGCAATATAGTTGCGCTTCCTTGAATGCCAGGGCTGGAACTTATCGTGCTCCAAAGCCGACCATTTTCGTCTGAGCCGCTCCTGATCATCGGATGGCAACGATAGCTCTGGGTAGACGTTTTTTATGTACCAGTCGAAATCGTGGCATTTTAACTCCTTGCGCAACTGGATTCTGGAGGAAACATTTCCGAAGTCTATACCCGCCGCTTGCTTGTTTTGACTTAGGAAGTATTGCTGAAAAAATCAGGTTCAGAAGGAGTAGAAAAGGTACAGTGTTGCCCTCCGCAAACCTTATATTCGTCCATCCACACGTTAGCCACCCTGAGGGAATTATATAGCATAGTATCCTGCCCATCAGGAGCTGCATACGGACGCCTGTGCCTAAAAATGTGCCCTACTCTGCTGCAAGGAATCAAGTGCAACGAGCCGCCGCACATCCAGATCTAGAATCACGTTATTATGGACAGTACAAAACCAGACAGTGCTTAAATCTCACTCTAAATGAGATTTCCAGATTCTCGCCACCCCATATATTCATTCCAGAGTCATACTCGCCCAGATCAATGAAATATTGGCGATCAATTGCGAACAAACCGCCTGCCATTGTTGGGGATTTGATAGGCTTGACAAAGTCCTCGGGTTTGTCCAAAGTGCCTAAAAATGGCCAACAAGTGTTCATATAAATTTAAAGAATCAGCTTATGACTGACTACCTTTAGGTAAATTATCCCATTTAAAATGCAGCCCCCAGTTGAACCCACCCCTAACCAGAGGGCTGGAACTGTACACAAAAGTATCCGGATTGATTATATCAATGATGGGCATCACTACGTTTGTCTTATCCTTTTTTATAGCCGCTAGAAGCGGTTGAATCCAGCCTTGGTTTACCTCTATATGGCTATCCAGGTATATCAAAACCTTAAATTTTTATAAATCACTTGGCTGCTGTTAGAAACCCTTCTACTTGCCTCTCCTTTTGCTTGCCTGGCTCCAAAAATTCTAGCTCGAATGAGGCCTTCTCTTTTCTCAGTTCTAAAAAGCTTAACCGTGATAAAACTGCTGCTTTTTAGGTATTGCTGAAGACCCTGCAGATCTTCATTATCACTGTAATCATCTACCAGCACAATTTCATATAGGAGATTCTCAGGCGTTCTACTTGAAATTGAGGCAATCGATCTGAGAAGAGTGTGCTTTTCTTCGTTGTAGAAGCAAATGATGATGCTGGCTTTAGGAAGATCCGTTGGATAAGTCAAGTTCTTGCATCTGTTGAATTTTGGCAATTCTTGCAAAAATTAGTCGAGAATTTAATAAATCACTCACAGAGCGTTTCTGGTGTCAGGAATATCCCGGAAATAGCTAAGTTTCTTGCTTATAAGCACATTAAAGGCGTGATTCTTGAAGCCTTCATCTCGCCATTCTTGCTCCTGGCTGTTCCTGACTAATCCCAAATCAAACAGCTCTGAAACAAATTAAGGTCAGCCCATAATTCATACTCAAAGTGACTGAATTACCTTGCTCCAATGCACTGCTGGAATTGCGATCACTTCGGTCAACTGGCATGAGTTTCTCCAGCAGGTCATTGGAATTAAATTGGCTTCTTGTGTAAGGTTTCTTGAAGTTGGAAGTTCCATTTTTGAGATTCGTTAAGTCACTTGATATTGCTTTTTGGGGGACATTTTCAGCACTTTTAGTGAGCTGCAGGTACAAATATAGAGAGATTACCCAAGTTAGCGAGGCAAAACCGATTCCGAATAGAAACGACCTGTTTATGCTAACCATCGCGAACTGTGACATACAAAGAATGTCCTACATTTTCGTTAAATATATTAATACTTTTATTTACTGTTTATGTTTATACTTTAGGCAGAAGAAGAAGAAGGCACTTTAGGTTAAGTTATGTTGCGAAGTCCAAAGACTTCGAACTGACATTTGCTACGAGGGCGTCCAAAAATGAATTTAAAGCTCGCTGGGTTGCAAAATACTTGCTTTTCAACGTGCAGAGAAGGGTTTTTCCGTATGTAAAATTTTCGGGTTTTTTTATAGAACGTATGTGAGCAAATCTAGCTTATCTAGAGCGATGAACAGTGCAAAAATTAAATGTGCTTGACTTTTTTTCGTTGAACGTCAGTGCAGGTCAGTCTGAGCTTCCTGGAGAAGGCGGCAGACGATGTCAGAGAGTGGACAGATTTTATTAACAGTTTTCATTCAAAAACTGAATGGAACAGCAAACATGTTGCCTTTTCCTAAAGGGCCAACATTACGTTATGCAGTTAGTGTTAAATTCAGGCGGATAAGGAAGTTTTTATATGGAAATACACATTTTGGTATGGGGTCAATGACACGGGGGTAACTGTTGCCAGATGTGATCAATGTTGCCACTTATGATTTTAGAGTGTAAGTATAGGAGGGAAAGATAAATAAGTAATCATTTTTATTATTTTATTTTAATGTTGCAACGAAAAACAATAGCAGCGATTTCGTCATATGAATAATGTATTTCATTAGCTAATTTTGTTTTTGTTCTTGAAACCTCAATTAATTTTCTACTTTACCTATTTTTGATTGGTATTTTTTTGATGGATTTTTTTGTATTACTTATTTATGCGTTTTTTATATACCTACTGTGTTGTTTTTTACTTTTGTATGTATTCAGCCACATGCTCCTATCAGCAAAAGTTCATTTTTTCCCAATATTTAAAGTGCAGCGGTGTGAAACGGCTTGCTAAATTTAAATCCTCAATATATCCAAGTTTCTTCAGTTCCAATTTTTTCCAGTTCCAGTTTTTTCAGAAAACTACTTTTGCACAAATCGGGAACACAGCTAGGTAAAAGACAATGGTGGAAATGCGAGTTTGAGAACGTAGCCAGAACGCTTCCAAATCAATTTTCAGGCAGAGCTGTGGATCTGGTGTTTCAGTCTTTCAGGCACCAAAACCTAGTTTTCTGACCCACCACAAGGGGCGATGCATGGAAATAGTCGGCAGTGCTGCCATTTTCTTGAAATTTTCCAATTTTCCTAAGCAAATTTGCGTTTTCAAGTGGAAAATCAAATGCGATGTATCTGATGTACGTTTTCTAAAACTGTTTGCCTAGTCGATTGAATTCGCATCATAGTCATCGATGTTGAATTAAAGTCTTGAAAAGAGCAAAATGGTTTTGAATAAAAGAAATTAAATTGGGAAGAAAAGCGGGCAGGAAAAGCGGCAACTGGGTTTTCCCGGTTAGAAAACCCAAAAGAGAAATTATCGGCAGTTTTCCAAACTGTTCGGTACATTGGGTTGAGCAAGACCCCAAACAGTAAAACATGTGAATTGGCGAGTGTTTCGGTTCCGCTTTTCCCTGTTTTCCCACTAATTTTTCGATTTTCCTTGTTTTGACCCACATATAACCCCAGAAAGTGGACAAAAGAACAGGTTCGAGCAAAAAATTATAGTAAGAATGTTTAGGTAAAATCAACTAACTGATGATGACCAGAATTAAATATAGGTACATATAACGCAGTTGCGTAAACCCGCAAATTCTGAAATTTCCCACCAAAATATGCAAAAAAATTATTGTTTTATGACGCTAGTTAAAAATAGGTGTATGTTTTTCCTGTTTCTACATCACATGATTCTACGCCAAGTTTTGCAAGTGCTGCAAACATTTACTGTTTCAGCGCTAGGAACTTATACAACAATTTTGCGTTAAACTTTCAGTTTTAGACGTGATCAATAATTGGATTTTGACCGCAGTTAAGATAAATGCTGAGTTTTTATTGCACCTACCAAGTATCTGGGTTTTTTAAAATTAACTTTATTTTACTAGTAAGCCCCACATCAGTTTCCCCACTAAATAATTTATAGGGTATTCAATTTCAAAGCGCACTAAAAACTAATTAAATTATTAATTTCTTCAGCCATGTGAACAGTAATTAAATTATCATTTGCCTCTATATAGCTGTGCCGGCCTATAACGGATCTATTTCTATATCATTCGTTTTGCACAATCCTATTTTTAGTCGACAATATTTTTAGATGTCTTCCGCCAACTTTGTATTGGAGGCATTATTCCTATTTTAAAAACAGCAGAAGCAAGCAAATTTTGCGAAAATTTTTGCACTTACAGTGCCAAACTTTTTACTGTTGATTTACTAGAAAATTCGAAATATTTTATAAATTGGCCATAAATTAAACAAAACCCGATAATATTTATCGGACTTAAACGGGTTTATACATATACATATTTGTGTTGAAAGGATAGGCAGATATTCATAAAGTATCCACTTTTATCTGAATTCCATGGTTTTTTAATTCTCCTTCTCGATATACATATACGGTCAAGCGGGCAAGTGTTTCCAGTCCTGAATGTTTCATTTTGTTTGTTAGTTAATCGTTATGACCAGTTTTAATTTGTAGTTTCAAATGTATTACAGCGACGATCTCCTATAGATATCCCCGCACTACATAGTGATATGCGTGACGTGAGTAAAACGCCCGGCCCGGTAAGCGGTATTTTATTTATTGTGCGATTGTGATGATGGTCTAAAACCGCCAAAACGTCGTCCAAGCAGAACAAGTGGCGAAGGCCGCGATCAAGTAAGTAACAAGTTAAAATGAAAAAAATGTTACCAACACACAAATAATTCCCTTTTCTCTGGTAAAAGTCTTTTATTCTTTTGCAGGCAGTGGCTCAGCACAAAGTCGCCGCTTCAATGTGACGGTAGTTCAGCCAGATGGGGCCTATGGGGGCCCGGGGGATCATTTGCCGCTGCAACCCTGTGGATCCCCAGTGCCTCGACATCGCGGACCCTTCGCGAGTATCCCTGAAGATCATGCTTTGGATGATCCCCCTCATCCTTTGGATGATCCCCCTACGGTGCCCCCTGAAAGTGAACGCCGGGGAACTTCACCAGCACCTTCTTGGGATTTTAGCCTCGATGACAATGATTCGGTAAGCCATTTTTTACATTTTTGATAGGTAATGTTGGGCATCAAACAGACTAGTTAGTAACATTTTAGATTTTTTACTGGGAAAAAAATATTTTTATATAAAATATTGAAAAATCTGAATAGCGCTTGGAAATCAAGCCATCGGGCATCAATATATTTTTTTTTAAATAAAACTAGTGTTAAAATGGGACCCCCTGTATAAATATTCAAATGCAAAGAAATTCCCGCCATTTTGTCTAAATTATCGAACGCAGCAGTGGCTTTGAGTTGGCTGACAGCTAATGTAAATCAGCTGTTGTTGACAATTGCGCCTTCATCGGAAAAAGTCCACACTAGAAATTAAATATCATTTTCCTAGAAAATTTATAGAGTATAGAGGCCCATGTCTGAGTAGTATTTTGAACAATTAATCTCGCACAATTCGAATCGATTTCAAGGTGTTCCAGCTCGAATTTCACTGTTTCCAACGTCCACGAATATTGTTAGTGCGGTTCGCCATAGTGTTTTTAGTGTCTGGTGTTTGTTTTGTTAACTACAGAGAAAAGTGATGGTGTTTCGAATGATTTTAAGTGTTTGTCAGTGAAACTACAGGGATTCTCTACCGAAAATCCGCGTCATTATTTGCCCAGCAAGGTGGCAAAGTGTTTGTTGATGCAGCAGAACCACTGTGCCATTTATCCAGGTAAACTCAACAGCTCCATTCCTTGGGTGATAAAGAACCATATTTTTAGCTGCTGCCAGTGAGGCTTTTTTCAATGGTTTAAAAGGTCGCAGGCTCAATTAGCATTTAAACGGCATTTAAATGGTTTTCACGCAATGCCCACTTAAAGGCCCAATCCAAGTTCACAACAATAGCAACATTCGTGTCTTTACAATGTCTTCCTTTATTATATAAGCTGTAGCCATTTAAATATTATATATTGGCTTTGTTGATAAGTATTCTGCTTAGAGCTTTTATCAGCTTCCTGTGAGGGCTTGACAGAAAGCACTAGTTGAAGGCCAACTTATTTTACAATATTTAAACTTCTAGTCAGATTAGCGACATGTAAACTCATTTTATCGATAAATTTTTCTATTGGTGAGTCCAGGTGTGAGGCAATTTCCAACCATAAAGGGCATTTTTTATGCCAATTAGGAACGTAGCTCCTGTATTACTTAGCACTTGAGTATTTTCTCTAACTATGTGATTAGTTGGTTACTACAATAGCAGAGGAAAATCGAATTTACAGGAAAAATTTGTTGTCGCCTTGAACAGATTAGTACATTTTCCCGAGAAACATGCGATTATTCACGAACGTAGCGTAACTTATGTGGTCGAGATTGGCATAAAATGCACTTGCCTGAATCACAATTTTTTACTTATCTATAAGTTACTGCCTGCGGGGAAGTGCGCTTTTCTCTATAAAACAATGAATCATCACATTCAAGGGGGTTTTATTGCGAAATGTCTTTTAAATTAGCAAATGACCCGAAATAGATTACCTGTAGGGGCTATTAGGTATAAAAATGTGTTTTGTGAGAGCCTTTTTCACTGATAAAACTTCGGTTTGGGTACGAAAATAATCGAAATCAATTCTGCAGCTCTAAAGAAAACATCACAGTGTTGGAGATTAATGCAGGGGCTTTGAATTGAGCTGAGTAGACTAATCAGTATCGATAAATGGTATTGTTTTTAAATATTTTATTAATTAAGTACTGATAAAAAATTTGGAATGGCATTTGTTATGTGAGGAAACTACGAGCAACAAGCTGCTTCATATTTGTTCACGAAATGGTTTTTAAACCTAGGAAATGTCCTGTTCTTTTGCTAGTTTTTATCCTGGTAAATCCTTTAGAAGTGATTGTGAACCGCGATTTTATAACAGTTGAATGGATTGAGAGTAAGTACCTAAGTAGGTACCATTAATTAATTGCCATTAAGCCATAATGACTCTTTTTTCTTAGTTCTGTATTTGTGGCTCTTATCACTTACTCATAATCAGCTTATATGATTAGGTATTTTGTCATTCATATAGTTTTGCTCGAGAAATGCTTGTTGGATACCGCCTCTAAGTCCCATTTGATTAATTTGCCTGATACGAATGTAATTCGAAAGCAAATCATAAATGATTCAAAATGTAGCTAATATCGGAAATGTTTGAGGATTATTCTGTCCTAATCCTGACTGGAATATTATTGTTAGTTTCTCAAAATAGACATTGCCTATGTATTCCTAGCAATAAGCTAGAGAATAACGTGATCTGTTGCATGTGGTTGCTATTGTACAGCATTTGAAACATTTCCAGTTCCAATTTGCAATTTTCTTGATTAATCCCAAAGTAGGTAGCACCTTGTCATTAAGCGTCGAGCGAATAGAATTGAAGACGTTTTTATTGCATTTTTCAATGTTATTGGAACAGTTGGCATTTTGATGAAATCCATCAAACATTTGTTGAAATTTCTGCATTTCGCCAGTATCTAGGCATGTGAAAATTAGTAGGTGGTTTAATTATACACATATTTCAATGGGAACATTTGGCAGTGACTGATAAAATTCGGAAATAACGCTGTTGGCATACTTAATGTTTTTTGGCCGTTATGAGTACGAAGCAGTAGACTGCTTGTCACTCAGTTTTTTCCACCGCTAAATTAAAATTAGACTCGCAGAGTCCACAATGCAAAATCTCTGTGCCAAAAAGATGATCCCCAATAATCAACGTTGACTTTGTATTATTATTATTATTATTATAAATTAAATGTTTCACATGTTAGTGATACTCGCACGTGGGAAGCAACCGCGTACTCAGTCATTAAATATACCTACAAAGGTAGATTCGCATGAAAATGCAACTAACTTTTGCATTATCTTCCATTCTCCGCGCGCTTTCCAATTATTAAATATCTTTTCGTGTTTATGGTGCAAGAACAAATCTAATACAACGTTATAATTGAAACGAATTGCCTGCTTTCTTCATGCATTTTTATGGAAATTTAAGTGTATGTTTTGCACTAGAAAATGACTAGTATTTCTCAGCCTGATGTGGTTAATCATCAAGTCAACATCTGGCTTCGATAATTACTTGGATAACTTGGACAACCTTTTGATGTTTTGAGCGCCTTTTAAACCATTTTGTAGCCTCACTGTTCACATGCACAACCTTCGTCAACCAGACAATTGTCACCTACAGATGGAAACTGACGTTACTCATTTGGTTACTCAGCAAGAATCTCAGACGGAGACATCAGAAAGCATGACAAAGCCGCCAGCAATCCGTTACCCTAGTGAACCTTCTTCGGATGAAAGCGACTTTGAGGATTCTGACCTAAAGGAGGTGATGCAATGTGAGGATGCGGGCTCCTCATTCTTCCAGCGCTACTTTCAAAATCACAGCAACAGCTTGCCTTCAAGACTGATGGGTGCTAGTGCTCGTCGTCTCTCTCAGTGTCGAGAGGAGGATGAGGACGACGAGAAAAAGGATCAATCGGTAGGCGCCGAAACCGTTCATTTCGGATGCGTTCATGGCATGGGTAAAGTCTCAAATAGTTGCATAGGCTTTGGTTAGTGAGATCCACTATAATCACTAACTAGCTACTTTAAAAAGATGAATCTATTACTTAACCTTTTCCGGAGGATCCTTAGGCAAAGGTTCTTGAAAAAATTAGCTTTATTTGGCGAATTGATCAAAAGTTCTTTGATTGTTGAGGCGTTACATAGAAAAGAACATTCTTATCAACCTAGTCCAAACTATAAACCCACTGTTTCTATTTATTCTCCAAACCACCGTCGCATTCCAGCCTCATTAGAACACTGAAATTGCATATTTGATTGACTTGTTGATTGGGCTCCTAGCTGCGCGTTTATTAGCATTTCATCTCTTTCATCCCTTAATTTTATCGTCAATTTCCTTACAAGTTCAATTCTTTTTTCACTTGCTTCATTCAATCTCCCAATTTTCCGTGATAAAGTTCTTAGTTTGGTCACGCCAATATCTATCGAGTGTTTGAAAAGTTGGGCTTCATTTTAGACTGTAAACTGAGCCCAAGCATGAACGCATCCGAGTTTGGCTTTAAAAATTCTTCTGCAGTTTGCAAGTGAACTTTGTGCTTGCAGAACGAAGTGCCTTCATCCAACGCCTCCGTGATCAGCGGCAGTGATAAGTCGCTGTCCGAGTCGTCAAGTAGTTCTAAAACGTCTGTGATAGATACTGTGACTGGACCATCGCATAAATTCGTGATAGTCAAGACTAAACAGCATCCGGATATTTCCGCTGCTGATAATTCCAATAGCGCTGTCCCAGCGACAGAGTGTAGTTCGGCCAACGAGGGCAACAAGAAGAAGCACATGACGGAGGTGGCGAAGATATTTGCCTCTAGGCAACAGTACCGGCAAAGTAACACTGTGGGTGCTGTGCCCTCGCAGACGAAAAGGATGCCCGCTTACAATATATTTAACAATAAAAGTCCCCTGGTTAGTCCGCATTATGACACCAGGTTTTTTGACTCCTCACTCATTGAGATGAGGAGTCAGACGTCCAGCTCGTCCACAGTGGACTGTTCTGAAGTCGTCGAGGATATTTGGGTGAAAAGACCCGAAACGGATAAGAAAAAAGTAAGTATAGTGGAACTGATACTCGACAGTTGTTTGATCAGCACTTATCATTGAATATTAATGAAAACATGTTTGTTTTGTTGTTCATAGTAGATTTCCATCTACTTAATTAATAAACTTATTTATTGTGAATTTAAATAAGGTTGGCCAATGGCTGAATACCTTGTAAATACGGGTCGTACTCAATGTCATCTCTAACTCAACGCTTGTTATTATATATGGTTTTCCTCAATTTGCATTATTTGTTGTACGGAGTGACCACAAAACTATAGCACAAAACTATACTTGAAAAATTGTCGACAAAACACAATCACGCAAATTGAAAGGTGTTTGTTTAAATGGGAATTTAGCTTGCGTTAATACCCATACAGGTAAGGTCAGTTGGCTTTAGATTTTTTTTTGGTCGCAGAAGTACAAAGTGAGGAGTTTTAAAGCAAAGTGCTTTCTTTATTCGAATAAATGCGTGTAGTCATTTGCTGCTAGCGATCAATTTTTCAAACTTTGCCCATAACATTTGCGGAATTCGTCCAATTTGCGGATTAATAAGCGGACATCTTGATGGAGATAATTAAAATTAAGCGCTCCGGCAATTCTGAAGTTAATGAAATAAAATCTGGTTCAAGGACTGTTATTTCCGCGTTGGTGGGACATTACGTGCATTTGATGGGCCTGTAAATTACGTGGATTAGCTGGGTGGGACAAGAGTGAGTAAAGAACACTTTAGAGCAGCGTCGTCCCAGCTATTATAAATCGGTTATCTTGAGACGAAAAATATTTTTTTTATACAAAATATCCATCAACTTGCAAGAAGCGAAGAAAAAAACACATCATCGCCACCAGAGGTACTGGGCATATTTCGGTATCCTATGACCACCTATGTACATATATACTAAACTTGTAAAAATAATTCTTGTGTCATCCGATCGCATATTTCATGAATGTTAAGGAGTCTGATTCACAAAATGCACGGTTTTGTGTTGCCTCTTCGTAACAACAATAAATATCTGGCATTGTAACACAATATCATAAGCTGGTCCACACCTACATCAAAAAAATAGGAGAAAGTGTTGAAAAAACGTTAATAATTTCCCATGCTTTATGCAGCTTCTCTAAGCCATGTTGTTGTATTTTCCGCAAACTGTTTTCTTGATATTTTCTCACTGGTTATTTCAGAATTGTTTATACTCAGCGGGAAGTACATCTCCCGTGTGCGATTAGATTTTTCGAACAAAGCAATCAGCGCCCCATGAATGGGATTATTTCGCACATTTATCGATATTAATCAATCAATGGGTGACAAAGCGATCGAACTTGATTCCGGCCAGTGGGTTCGCCAAACAAAGCTTGAAAGTATGTTGGTACTTTCGTTTGCACTCGAATTGTTTATTAAGACTTGTTGCAAAGTCAATCGGGAAAATGTGGATTTTGATGCGAAGTTCCAGGTAAGCTTCTAGCTGTTTCCAATCCGTGCAGACCATTTTTTATTATTCGAGAAACTTGCTACTAGGTAAGCAATGGCGGTTTTCATAAATATTCCTCTAAATAAAATTTGACGAATTGTGAATAATCGAAGTCTATTTTTACGAGTTATTCAAGTGCAATCTCAAAAGCGATTATCAAATGCACACTCGAGGGCATTTTGTCATCCGTACGCCCATTTAAAGTTCACCTGGTTTTCCCGGAATCCTGGCCATTTCGCAGGAAAATAGCAGGAGTGTCGTTTGCCCCAATTATACTTAATTACATATATTGATTGCATTGTAATTAGTTTCGATCTGAGCTTTGCGTCATCAGTCTAATAGCTTGTGTTTTGCGCTCATTCAAGCACGAGCGTTCCAATTGCACCATTCTTCAAAGCAGGACAGTAAATTCGTTTGAGAATTGTTAAAACGATTCAATAATACAAGTCCTGCGAAAGACAACACACGCAAATGACCGTAATTCCATTCCATATCGGTTACTTATATATTGTCATCAGCAAAACGAATTAATTTATATAAACGCTTTCAGTTTGTAATTCAATTGTTAAGCCAGTTCTGCTTGCTAGTCCGGGCAAATTCGCATAAAACCGGCGGCAATTGCTTCAAGATGCTGATTTTATCATCGATTATCTGAATCGTTCGTGTGCATTTCCAATTATGGACTGGTTAAGTCTTCAGGCAATGTAGATGTGAAGAAATAAAAACTTATGTCATAATACACGATTTTTCAGTTCCAAGCCGTTGAAACTGCGGGTCATTTTCACTCGATCTCGCCTGATCTAAGCTGCTTGATATTTCACTTGATGTGCATTTTTCTACTTGCACTTTTTATTCCCCTGAGTGGCGCTTTTTGTCTGATCGCCCAATGAGGATATCTTCTAATAAAGATAATTTCATGTACCTACGGTTCTAGAAATTATTTCCTAATTCGCTGGTTTGTCGCGCGTTTTGTGGTTTCTTCAGTGCCAGCATGTTACGGCAAATGTTTCTCAAGCATTTGGACGAGAATATCGAGGAAACATTAACATTGTGCAGGCGAAAGGTATCAAATGTTGCATTCATTGTTTTTCTACATGCTCTTAGAATAATTATTTGATTTGTCGGTGAATACTCGTCACGCTTGTTTAAACCGGGCAATTTATCTACGTTTTTGTATTTAGCAATGTTTATAATTATTTTATTTACTTTGAGAAATCGTCAATTCCAGTGTTAACATTCGGAAAGTGTAGGTAAATAATCAGGCCAGGTTCAGTCATCGTGTTTTATTACAAATTAACATTGACTAAGCATCAACAACGATTTCATTATTCATAAATGTTAAAATTATTCATTAAACGCCACTTGTGGTAATTGTTACATAATATTATAAATTGCCAAAAGATAACGGGCCGCGTCGAAATGAAAATTACGAGCTTCTGTTTGCTCGGTCTAGACCCACTGCCAGCTTTGCGATTTTTGCTCATAAAAACTCCAAACACACTAATTAAAGAGTGCATAGGTTATCCTTTGCAAACAACGTTATCAGTTGCAAATAAATTACTAATCGATTCACTAAACAAATTAACATTTACTTATTGGAGCGCATCGTAATTTGTAACTGTTTCCCTCGGTATCTTTAAGTTGTATTGTTCTTCGATTCGGTTTATGTTGACTTCAAATAAACCGCTGTTCGGAAAAGTTGTTAAATGGCTGTATAAACACTGAATTTCAAGTTAGACTCTATTCATTCGGCAATTAGTACCCGATTTCTCTAGCCAGGAATCGGTTGGTTTCAAGTGATTGGTAATGCGAGTCTTGCCAAAGGTAAATTTAATGGTTTTAAACTCAGTAATCTGTGGAAAATAATCGCGATATCTTTGTCTGCTTATGAGAATGGTGAAAATTTAATTCTCTCCAAGTATGATTTACAACCGGTAATACACATATTTGCTTCGCCAATATAAAAATAATGTGTTTACCAGAATGATTACATTTATGATTTATTACCGCCTAGATACATAGATGAGAACACTCATTCCCTAAGTGCTGTTTCGATTGTTTTTGCCGGGATTAAGTAAATTAATCCAGTGAAATCTTGCTCTATTTGCGAACAACTAGTCCTTTTGTTGCCCACATCATTCATTAAATGTGATATATCGAAATAAATCCCAGTTGTGGTTTTTACAAAACTTATCCTACAGGAACTGGGCTCACAACCGCTCCCGACTCTATCGGGGGAAGATGCCGACACTTTGCCTAGGTCGAGGTCTGGAACATGGGGTGCCAAGGACTCGAAAAAGGACAAACAGGAAAAGTCCAAATTGAAAAAGGCAGAAAAACCCGATGGGAAAAAAGACAAAGCGCAAAGCGGCAGTAGAAGTGGGTCAACATCTAGGTAAGGGATTGCAGATAAAAGCTATTTATTTGGTCCAATGAAAAGTTTTCTGTAGATCGAATTCTGCTGAGCGTCGAAAATCGGATGATGCCACTCCGAAGAAAGAGGGATCCAGGAGTAGATCGAATTCGGACGATAGTAAGCGAAAAGGAAGTGCCTTTATGGCGTCGATGAAGGCTGCAATGTTGGTAAGTTCAGCTAAAACTCCTCAATATTTAGGCATAATGGGCAAATTTTAACAAAGTGGGGTTGTAGATGGTGGTAGGACTTAACATTGAGTAGCTGGCAATTTAACTGGGTTAGAAGTGGGTTGTGTGTTTGATAAATGTTTGGGTTCTCGCAACCAAAGTCTGGACAATATTTTTCAAATATTATGGTAAAACTCAAACTGCCTTTGTCTCGTCCAGTAGAGTCGCAAAATGGTCTGATATGTGCATTTTGTGGAGCTTAACATGCAATGTTCGACCTTTCAATCCGAGGGCGGTACACGTCTCATTGTGCTAGAAATTACTGTTTTCATAGCATTAATTAACCAGAATTTCACTGCAGAAAATGCTTCGGAATATTTCCTACGTCCATAGTATGTTTCCAACGGTTATGATGCCCACTTACAAAGTTGCACCAAACATATTTTAATTGAAATGCCAGTCATGCAATGCCGATAGCAGTACTTTTCGCCTGCAAACAATCGGCAAAGCGATAAAATTTCCTGATACACATTTCAGGAATTTCAGCTTTGAGTGGTTTTTGTTTAGGCCAGACAAATTGTGTTTCGATTCGTTTATTGATAATCGTAGTGGATTCAAGCTAGATTGCGACCCATTTTTTTTATAATGGAGGCATTGAAACGTTCCGCGAATTGTTGAGCTTCATTTCATATTTCTCTCAAGCACACTGGTTTCATCCACGCCAAACAAAAAGCTCCAAAGGACGGATCTGCTCATCCGGTGGTTGCTCCAGACAGTTCCGATACCAGATATTATCACACGGTTACTGCAGCTAACAATAGGGGCCCGATGACGAAAGTTATGGATATTTTTAGGTGAGTTTATGGAAAAATTGCTAAAAAATATGAATTCAAAACATTGATTTCGTTTGTTTACCCCGAATGAATATAAGTATTGAAAGTTCCCATCGTTGGCGCATTTATCGATATCCTGTGACGTGGTTGCTTTGAGTGTAAATAAATACTAAAAGAAAACGCTAATATTTTGCTAAAAGTAAACTTTCAGTCGTTTGAATCTAAATATTTGGCAACATTAGCAGCTCGTTAAATATGTTTTTTATATCATATCCACAACACTTTCTCAGCTTCGTATCACTCAGTCAATAGGAAATGATGTTTTTTAAACACGTTGATTTCTGTACTGCAGAAACAAGCCCACGTTCCAGTCCGAAGAGGAAATTATCAGGCGCGATGAGCGTAAGGAAGACCGAAGGAAAGAGGAGAAGCGCGAGGAAGAGCGACGGAGGAAAGAAGAGAAGGAGCGTAGGCGCGAGGAGGAGAAACGAAAGAAAGAAAAGGTAAAGCGGAAATCTATTGGAAGAGACTGCAATTATTATTTTTTATTTATTCTTTTTAGGTTATTCTGCGAGTTAAAATATACACCTCAAACGGTTGTAAATTTTACATTTTTTTGCTTGATTATTGCTTTTGGTTTTAGGCGTTAACTAGTTTAGTGCTTTAGTAGACTTTTTAGCGCCGGTGCTGGTTTCGGGCAGGATTTTTGCCCAAAATAGTTTTTTTCTCAATTCCATCAATATAACGCTTATAATCGCATAGGCTGTCTTATTGCTATTTGAATTGCTTTTAAATGTTAAATGCCTTTAAAATGTTGGTTGTTTTTCAGCAAGCGGCATTTGCTCAGGGCCGACCTAAGGGCCCCAGAGACGGATCGGCCCATCCGGTCCGAGATAGCGACAACATGTATTATCATACGGTTACAGCTGCATCGTCAACCAGAAGCCCCATGACGAAGGTGATGGATATCTTCCGGAATCGATCCCATGGCACCCCCACTCCGGATGAGCGAAGAAAGGTCAGTATTTGCTATTTTTAGGATACGGAAAGCATTGTTCCGATAGGTATTTTATGGCGAATGCGCCGGTTTGTTGCGGCAGGTTTATGAAAAACTTCAACACAGTAATAAATATTAGCTTTTGGCAAGATTTGCTTAATTTCCAAACAGTGCATATTCAGTTTTTGCCTAAAACTGTCATAAATGGGCGATTTTTTATGCGAGAAAGTAATTATGGTTAATTCGTAATTTTTTTCCTCCCACCGATAAAATTTCCAAAACTGTGTTGTTAATGGGTGTCCTTTACCTTTACACTCACCCAGACAGTCAGCTGTTTCGTTGTGACGCAAGAAAACAGGATGGCAGCAAAAATCTTTCTGTTTGCAACAAATTCGAGTCGGTTTATCAAGTGGGACGCGCGCGGCATGCTGATAACAGGCGCCCAAATTAGGTTTCACTATTTTTCTAAGCTGTTTCTTTTTGAAAACTTTCCTCAGTGTTCCAGTTTAAAATGGTGAAGTTTGTGATTTGACTACGTAGTTAAGTTCACTCCAGTCCACTTTGCCCGCCGGTTTTTGCAATAGTTTCCACGGTCACATGTTTGGTGGTTTTATCGGATATCAATACGGTAATTCTTGGGTATATCAGGCTAATCTTGGCTTTGTCCTATCGCAATTACGCGTCTATATTTTTGCCAAAGCTAGAAAATTTAATTTTGGAAATCACTAATTGAACAGATGTGGCATGTGATTCGCGATCCCGTTGATCTTGAATCTGAAGGTCAAGTAAACCTGCGACATTATCTCTAAAAGAAAGCATTGGAAAATAGTAATTGACCTCAGAGTTCACTAGAGTTTTTGCCATCGAGTTTCCAAAGAAATCCGGTTTGCAAGTTTTTCGCGGCAAATGGAATAACTCGCTATAACACTAATTTAAGCGCAAATGGCAAACAAACTTGATTACCTTTCGACTTTCAACATTTTTATGACTTAGATTTAATCCCGTTTTTTCCTATTTACTTGTTTTTATAATTGATGATAAACTGTTTGAATAACAATCTAGACTCAGTGGAATTTTCACTTCTTGCTTCTCCTGTTGAGCTCACGTTGTCAAAGCTCGTAATCTCCAAACAATCATAAATTTTCAAAAATCAACAGATTCCAAGGTTATCGTAGGCGTTTTATGTAAATGTTGTGAATTATTGGAAGTCATTGTTCAATTCGAGCTGATAATGCCGGATTTGTTTAAACCCATGCTCATATGAACAGCGTGTTCGATTAGGAGAACTAACTGATCAATTTCACACCTTTTCATTACTCAATTATCAGCTGTAAATTGTAGAATTTTTCGATTATTAGTTATCAGCAATTTCCAATTCCTCTTATCAAAGAATCCGAATGATGTTATAATAAGTGATGAAAAATTGTAAAATTTTCGGACAATGTAACTGGCCTCAAAAATATTTAAATTTTTGAGGCCAATTGGTTTTATCAGCAACTATCTCTGTTGAGTAAGAGTATAATAACTCTGACAAGCCAATTGGCTGTAAAATGCCATAATGTGGAACCCAATTAATTATATTTCACCACATGATTAGAAATTGCCTTACTGAAAGCAACAATCAACTCAGACTAAATCCCAATTTTATTTACAAGATGTGTCTCCATATCAGGACGATTTCGCAGAAAAATACTGGCAATTAACGCGAAAACATGTTTCTATGCAGAGTTTTCCAGGACATCGATCAATTGCGGCTTACCATGTAAAATGTGCTGTGTTATTTATCATTTTGCGAAATGATAAATGTAAAAATATTCAGTGAGTGATTTGAATTACATCAAAAATGCGACCGAAAACTTTCCTTTTATTATCGAGCTGATTAATAAATGCTATATGAGCGTGCAAAATAATAATAGTAGGTAGTTTGTGTTGGTGCCAATTTTTATCAAATAATTGGCGGCATAAAATGGGCTTCCCGTGTCACTTTAATTGATTAATCAGTCGAAAATGCTGCTTTTATAGGTGATTGCATAAGTGGAAATATTTAGGAAGCAATGCCCAGATTTTTTGCAAGTTGTATGCGTTTATGTCGACAATCGAAGAAAATTTCTGCTCAATGCGCGCAATAACATATATTTTTTTAAATACTTAAATCAGACCTAAATTGAGAATTACCTGAAAAGAGCTGATACATTTTGATTTTTATGCCAATCGCGCTTGTATTTACCAGTCATCTATGTAGTCGCAGTAATGATAAAGTTAGGTTTTCCTATTAAGAATATTTAGACTGAATTTTGGAATAAATTGGTCTTGAATCCACAATTATCGCCGCATGGTAATGTATTGACGATTTTATTAGAATCATTGATGGCTTCGCTGTTATTACCAAAGTGCGACAGTCGAAGCCTGTACTTCACACTAAAACAAATTAAAAAACCACCAACTATGTGCTGGCGTGAAATTTTTGCAGATTTTCTGCTGTGAGTTTAAGTGTCTCAATGTAATCTTCCAACCGTAAAAGGCACTAGAAACAAAGTGACGCTCAAGTGAATGTGAAAGCGCAAAATGTCCGGTTATTTTCGATGGATGAAAAGCAAAAACAGTTATGACATCCCGTTCCAGAAACCGCGCAGTCATTCCTTGGATCCCAGAAGTCTGGAGGCTTCTGGGATCAGGAACTTTTCGAGCTCACGATCCGACAGTACGGAGAACTTGCGGGGCGATTTGGTATGTATTATTGGTGCGTTTATGCGGACGGAATCAGACCAAGTGCCCGCTTTTTCTCAATAGTTTTTATATAAGGCGAAGGTATTAACGTTTTTACTGTGTTAATTAATTAGTCTCGTAATCGCGTTTTTGCATTCAACGCGAAAGTAAAGTGCATCGGGTGTACTTCGTTTCATCGTTTTTGAACAATATGTATGTCAAGTGCAATTAACGTTTAGCTGGTATTTTCCAGTTGAGTTTTTATAAATTTGCCCCACAATCTCACTACGAAATAATGTCTATGACAAATACCAATATTATGGGCGTGTATGAGTTTCCTGGAAATTGTATTCAAATATTTTGTATACTTAAAATTTCCATTCGGTTTGACCTTTTTTCGATTTATTATTAATATTATATTTTTTCTTTTTTTCAGAGAGCCAGTCATCATCTTGGTAAGTTTTTTCTCCACGTCAATTCCCCGATAACTACTGTAAAACGTTGTTTGGTTGCCTACCTTCGGTTTGCAATTGTTGCGCCTCACAGCGACAATTTTCGAAGCTCCTTTTGCTAAGGGCCGGTAGTTTTGCTCGCCACAAAATCTTTTGTAGATGGCGCACAGTGTTTTTATCGCGCATATTTTAACATTGCAACGACCTCTCGTTGGTGCAGTGGGTAAATTTTGTTATGGCCCGAGTTGCATAAAGGGTGGTTTTCAGCATTTGAGTCCTAACCGTTGCATGATTATGGATATAGTCTGTCCCAAACTTTTAAGCAGTGACGCAATAAAAATTGATGTTATTGTACATTGTTTCAATTCACGGAAGTATGGAATAATTTAAAAATTGTTGATTTTATTTATTGGTGAGTGTTGGCAGTTTCTGTTAATTTTTCCTTAGTTTACCGATATATTTTTGCGACGATAGTGATTTATTTGCCCAATTAATTGTTTACATTCTGCAAGTTTAACCTCGCTTTTGCATCTTCTGCTAATTTAAATGCCATGTTGTCGACAGTTCTAGTTAAAACTAATTTGAAATTTCTACACTTACATTAGGAAAAACTAATGGCGAATGTGTAATTTATAAACAATCGAAAATAAAGTGATTTGGATAAAGCTGAAAATAAAGATATGAAAGAAAATCTTGCGAACGAACCCCGGACATGAGTAAATTCCAAAATGGTGTTCAAATCATGACGTCACTGTCAAAAAGCTTGAAGCAGACTATACATTCAAGGCGATGTGGCAACGTTTGCTATGGATTATTGCAAAATTATTCTGAGGGGGCTCGACCGATACGTCATCAACCATTATATAAGTCAACTAGTAGTAACAATATTTAGTTTGTTGTCGGCCTTGATTTTATGAAAATGTTTATCGGGTTTTTTCGCATTCCAAAGATATGTTGCGTGTAGCCAGGTTAACAGTATCTATTGTTGGACGTATCGGGCCTAAGTTATCCACATTATCCACCCCAGTGTCGAATACTTTTAGTTACCGAATATTTACCGAAGATTAGTAGTCAATCTTAGCCAACCTACTTGGGAACCTTAGTAAAATTGGAAGCCGTTGAAAACGTTTGTTTACCACCTTGCTACTATTTAAGCCCAGTATTCTATAATGACAAATATGAATTTTTTTCCCATATTTTCCCAAAATTCCATCATTGATTATGTTTCCATCAACTGATGCATCAGGTCACATTTACATTTTGCATTATTAATATTCATAATGTTCTCCTCGAATTGTTGGGGTCAAAATGCTACCCAGCGAAGCCTTGTTTACTAATGGTTTAGCATTTCCTGTTCCCTGTTTGTGAAAATCTAAGCATTACCCAAGACATAGCAAAGTGAACGCAATTTCGACTTTGCCCTAAAAACGCTGCCCTTTTCGATTACTTCGAAATCAAATCATGTATTGGAAAAGGGATGGAAATTTTCCATTAGTACGGCAAATCTTAAAAGAATGCGAAAAGGCCTCCAATGGCTTAATCCAATAATGTAGAATCGGTCCTTTTGTAAGGTCGACATCAAATGAATCGGTAATTCATGCTTTAACGGCCAAGTGAATTTATCTTTTACGTGGGTGTAAATTTGAATATTCCTTGATCATAAATGCTTGCGAGGATTTTTTCATTCTTTCGTGGGCGACTATAAATGGCCCATGAAAATCATCCTTTTTCTTGTTTGGGTAATATGTACTTCAAAGTGTAGGCAGCCTGGTAGGTTTCTTCATGCTAGCTACCTCTTTTATTTAAAAAACGACGGCAATAACTGTTCAAAAAAATAACAATTCTTTTATGTCGTTATCTGGTTGGTTTAGGACCGCAAGGCACGTTTGCTAATTAGCTAATGCACCGCTGGAATAGCTTTTTTCCAGAAAATTACTGCACGTGCCGGCTGCACATTCGGCCAAACAATCCAGGCAACCGTTTATTTTCATTTGGCGATCCTGGCATTTTAAGTATAGACAACTGACCCATTTTCACTTTGTGAATACTTTTGCCGACTGGAAAAGATGCCATGTTTATCTCACTTAGATTCTTGGCATCTTGATAAATTGTGTGGGTTGTCTCTACAATATTATCAGACTAGATCCATAAATTGACTGAATTACTACGCAACTTGGAAGCGATTAACGTTGTTAGTTGTAAGGTATATGACTTGAGTTGCTGCCCACCATAAAAATAGTTGTAAATTATTTGTAATTATCGGTTTTATATCGTAAACCGTGCAAAGATCAATTGGTGTAGGCTTTAAGAGAACGACGATAATTTAAAACTCGCAGGAGTAATAAAATAATCAAACTAAGCCGATAGGCACAAAATAAGTCGCCGCACGTGGGTATTCAATTAAATTGAATAATTTAATTTTATCGGAATCCGTTTTGCCTCATTTTGCAGATTAAACGTAAACATGTTTATATCATCTTTCGAGTAAGTAAATTGTGACTATTTTCAGTTTTTTGTTAAATCAATCGTCAGCTTTATATTGATACTGCATTTGGTGGCAATCAGGTCACTTTAAATGAACCTATAAAAGCTTTTTATTCAATTCTCCTGTGACGACCTGGCCCAGAAGTTGCCATCAAAGCTAGAATTGATTTGATTAATAATCCATTACAGTTTTATTGGATTATCTGGAAGTAAACCAGTTTTGTTCGTTTGTTTGCAAGGTCTTTTGTTTATTATTAAACAAATCGCTTTTAGATTGTTAGAATTTTTGCTTCCCAATGAACGAAGGTGGAGTTAATTCCAGTTGAGTCATTTTATTTAGGAACTGTTATTCCGGAAAGTTTCCGTGGATTGGCAGGTATTAAAACTTTATCCACCAGTCCTCGTAGATTACTTGCAGCATCTTCAGCACCAGGTTCTACTGTGATTGGCCTCAGTCTCCGGTTTCCATAGTAACGGCGGCCATTGCACTAATTACAAGCGTTTTAAATGTCAATTTCCATCTCCGTTAAATCGTCCGAAAAAAATGTCTTCTGTTTTGCCTCGTTTGCAGATCAATTTCACCATGAGTTACCCACAAAGGTTAACGAATATTTCAGAAACACGACTTTAATTGAAAAATGTTCAAATCCTCTCCTTTTTTTATGAAAGTACGTTTGAAGGTCTTTTTTATTATATGATATGCATGCACTTAGATAAGCGGTTTGCACCCGCATGGTACGAGTTCACGGGCAAATTTCCAATTTGTTGCAAATAAATGAACCGCTAGTACGGCGATAAATGCGCCAATTGGTTCTGTTAAGTTGGTAATGTATACGTTTAGTGAAATCATTGACAAGCTAATTTATTCCGCTCGTACATTTTTAATTGAAACCAATCATGCTGTTTGCATTTATTTACGCAACAGACCTCGTAGCGGTCCGCGGAATAATGGCGTCGCCTTCGATTGGGCTCGTTGGCCCAAACCTGTTGTTTCCCTGGAAACGCCACGTTATGATGTTGTTTACGAGGGGGCGCCGAAGCGTTCGTCATTTAATACATGGAAAATGTAAGGCTCATGTTTTTCATTATATTTAAGACCGGAAACGGCTACAAATGGTTCTTTGTTCGTCAAATCTAATCAACCCGCTCGGCCGGAGAAGTTCGGAAATGAGGTCTCTATTTTAAATCGTTCGTTTTGAGAGTAGTGTGCGGAATAAAGGGGAATTTAGCGCGTTCAGCCGAGTCCCAGATAGTGACACGTGCATGTAACAATTTACCCAATTTTGAATTACACGTCCCAATTCGTGACCGTTGTTATAATTGTCACGTGTATAGTCTATATTGCCAATATTACATTCTAGCCGATTATGGGATTTCGTATGAATTGTCGTTGTTTTTGCATCAATTGCGTGATCTGACGGAAGTTTAGGAGTCATCAAAGTGTTTTTGCACATTTGCATGCTGGGATTTTAAAACTGGCTGAAGCTGATCGACGTTGAAAGATTCTAGGTTGAGCACAAAAAAGTGCATTTAGTTAATGCTATCTTGAACTTTCTATTAATTTATTTGCTGTCACATCGAAAATTATTTGCTGTCACATCGCCTCTCTCCTCAGCAGACTCCACAATTCAAACCTCAACTCAATGGTGGAAACTTCCAGACGCTCCCTTAAAATCAGCTCGTTCGTTTGGCTCCCGATGCATGCTAAATACATCGCTGGTTCGATGCAAATTTTGGGCCTATTTAGTGCTAAATAATCGCGTTGACCTTGGTATATGCATTTAAAGTATGCATTCAACAGCCAACTGCGTCTCTTGTTCTTTATTGTGCATTCATTTTCAAGGCCAGCTAGTTATGTCCCACTGACCCTTCCTCACCGGAAAAGAGAATCTGCCCCCTATTTATGTGCGCGGGCATATTTGGGGAGCGCTGTTGCCTTATCAGACCAGGTGGAAAAGCGCTTGATGTCCCCCTTTTGGAGCAATGGGGTGGCACCAGAAGAGTCTTTGTTTATTGATGCTTTTGTTGGGCTCCTTTGATTGTCGTTGGTGTTGCTTGGAATGGTTCGTCTAACTTGCAACAAACTCGTCAACTACAGCGCCCGAAACTTTTTCAACTACATGGAAGTTTGAGCAAAGTTTTCTTATTACCTGTCCGACATGTACGTACTGATCTAGTTTGCTAACAGAAATTCAATTTGTCCTGCCTGGCGAATTATCAACTCTTTGATTAGTTTCAAACTTGTAAGCCGACAAAGTGTTCCAATTATTTTCTTTTGGATATTTACGCCGACAAGCCAGTCTACACATCTATAATAAATATGTTTAATTTTGGTATAACAATTATTCGCGCCTCCCTCGTAGTTTGAGCGACAATATTTCAGTAACACTCCTTATGCTAATTGGACTAAATATCTGGTTTCCACAGCAACGACGCCTCCTGTGGTAATTACGAGGGAGAACCAAATGAAAATCAACCAGTACACACTTTTATTACTGTTATTCGGCAAGTATTTTTTT